GGAACAAATGTGTACTATGAAGGATAACAGAAATGAGAAAATTAGACTTCAGAAATTTTGTTATTTCTTTTGAGCTTTATACAACCATAGCCATCTTGCTGTTGTCTACACTGAAGGCACACCCCAAGGACAGAAACCCCAAGAAATTGAAAGAACCACGCAAGCGTTAAAATTGTGATTCCCTCACGCCTAAGATCGCTCCTTATCTTTTCTTTGCACAGTTTGTCAATGCCAACTAACTCCATCCCTTATAAAGTGTTTCCTAGACTCAAAGTGTGAAGGCTAAAGCTTGACATGGATGGCTGATGGAAGCTGTGAAATCTTTCTCCTTGCAAGTCTTTTAAAGGAAGTTTCTAGATCAAGTCTTGCTCAGAGGTAGGGGATGGACTGGCTGGTTTCTCCCTCCCAACCCTGGGATTCCAAAGGAAGCTGCAAGAGTTATCTTCTTTTAAGGGGGTTCCTCTTTCATCTGAAGGTGCTGGGGAGACACTTGGGTGCTGCCCAGCACAGCAGGGGGTGGGTGGAGCTGCTCTACTGCTGAACCGAGGGAGGCTTCCAGGAGGGGAACGCTTTGAGATGCCTTGTGAAAGAAGCCTGGGAGGAGACCCGTGGCTGGCAGGTGGCGTGGGAAGAAGAGACTCAGTGGGGGCTGGTTGGCAGGGCAGGCTGAGTCTGAAGAGGTCAGATTTACCTTCACTCCACAGAAGTCCTTCTCTGGAAACCATACCTGACAGGTCCTTTTATCACTTACACCTTCCAAGGTAGCAGACTCCACATTACTTGGTGGAAGTCAGACAAATTCCACCATTGCTTGAGGCCACCCACTGAGCCACCCAGCCATCGATCTAGCCCTCCACCACCCTCCACCCACTCATCCATCATTCCCACATGTAGACCAGAGGGGGACAGAATATGATGGGAGGGAGGGGATTCATCCTGTGATCCATTCCTTTCAAGGTCTTTAAACCCTGTACCCCCACAGCCCCCGCCCTCCACAGCAGAGGATAGAATGGCCTTTGGAGACCTTTTGCCACTTTGGAAAGGCTTTGAGGGCCTTTAGCGAATGCCCTTTTATGGAACGTGTGTAAATGGATTTGGAGTTGGAAAAGGTTAGAACCCCGCAGAAGGGGTTGAGTTGCCTCCGGCCTTTTGGTGGCAAAAATGGCAGAGCTGGGGAAGGATGGGGGTTCTTTGGGAGGGATTATTTTCCATGGATGGTCCTCCAGACCTTAGTTCTCCAGGGGGTAGAAATCTTCATTCTTTAGATCAGCCCTAGGGAGACTGGGGGGTGTGGGGGTGGTGCTGGTGTGAGGGTTGGAACCAGTTCTGGGACACCAGTGCTCTGTGGCTGCTTTCCCTGAGAAGGACTTTTTTTTTTCACTTTTTTTTTTTAAATAACAGTTTATTTTGACATCATTTTGTACATTTTTTTTCTTATCTCAATTGTAATCCCCTCGGGTTTCCCATCACCAAGTCACCCGTGTGCCATCACCATAATCCCGTGCACTTCCCTCCCCTCCCCCCCGTTTTTGATCCCATTCCCCACTCCACCCCCACAAAATGTCTCTGGTATATGGCTGTTCATTATTCTTGTTATTTTCTCGCCTGGTCCATTATACTCCTGCTATGAGTGAAACCATCCGGTATTTTTCCTTTTCTTTCTGGCTTATTTCACTAAGCTTAATCTTTTCCAGCTCCATCCAAGTTGCTGCGAAAGACATGTGTTTCTCTTTTTTTGGTTGCTGAGTAATATTCCATTGTGTATATGTACCACATCTTTTTTATCCAGTCATCTACTTTTGGGCATTTGGGCTGCTTCCATGTTTTTCCAATTGTAAATGAAGCAGCAATAAACATGGGGGTGCAGGTATCTTTTTCAATCAGTTTTTGTGTCTTTTGGGTAGATACCTAGGAGTGGGATTGCTGGGTCGTAGGGAAGCTCCATGTTTAGCAGTTTGAGGAACCTCCAAACAGTTTTCCATAGTGGTTGTACTAGTTTGCATTCCCACCAGCAGTGCAGGAAGAGTTCCTTTTTGAGAAAGACTTTTACCCTTGCCTCCTGGGGATCCTCAGAAGACTCTGCCACCCATCAGGCACTTGGCTGGAGTCTCCTTCAACTGAGGCAAGAGTCTGGGGTCCCAGCCTGAAAGGACTGAAAAATCCAGTCCACCAGCTTCAGTAGAAAATTCAGCAGAACTGTCTTCCTAGTCCAGTTTGGCTAGGGTGGATGCCTCATGCAGGGAAGTGAGGTGAACTCAGCGGGTCCTGGCTCCCCCTTCTCTGGGCAGCCTAAGCCTCACCCAGGTTTCTTTCACTCCCACCAAATTCAAGTGATTAAATCACCATGTTTTCTCCATGGACTGTGAGCAACCCAAAGGTGAAATCTGGGCCTTACTCAGGCCTGTGTGATCAGTCATTGCTAGAGGAGGACACAGGGCTGGGTACTCAGGGAGTGTGTGAGAATGAGTGAGACACTGAATTAAATGCTGGTGCGTAGGACAGATGGGCGATCGGGGCTTCACAGGAGGGGCCACTGCTGTGGGCTGGGTGGAAGGGAGCTTCTTGGACAGAGGAACTAACCTTATCTTCCTTGAAATCTTCTGGGCCTCCCGCAGGCAGCCAGGAGTGGCATCTCTAGCCCCCACCTCTCTATCGTCACATTTACAAGCAATTTATCTCTCCATCCCCCACCACTTCTCAGTTGTGCTGGGGGGCTCCCAGGGGCGCAGGAGGACCCACTGTGTGTTTCTTCCCCACTGCTTACAAATTGGTCAGGTGAGAGGAACTGGCAAGCCCTGCAACACAGTGTCTTTCCATCGTGGAAGAGACACTTGCTAAAATTTATCAGCACATCCTTGCAATTCATTCACTTACCTGACATCTATTCATCTCCTTTCCTTTCTTTTCCCTTTCCCCCTGACTTATTTTCTTTCCTCTCTTCCTTCCTCCTCTTTCCCCCTTCTTTTCCAATTATTTTCTTCAATTCACCGACTACCTACTCATCCATTCACCAGTCCACCCACTCATCCATCTCTGTTATTCACCTGTTCTTCCATTTTCCCACTCAGATTATTTTTTTCATCCACCCGTCCATCCATCCATCCATCCAGCTGTCCATCCATCCATCCTCCCACCCACCCACCCACATATGTTTTCTTTTGAGTATCTACTCTATGTCCGCCAATCCCTGAGGCCCAGAGTCTTCCCCAGCCTTCTGGGAGGCAGGCACACGAGTTTTAAGGACAAGCAGAGGCCCAGAATACAGCGCTTCAGGCTGAGCCAGCTCTGATGCTGCCTCCACAGCCCAAACTTTGGTTTTCCTCTCCTGCTCCTTCATGCCCTCCCTGCTCTTGACTCTTCATAGCTGGTTTACACGGAGAAGGGGAGACATCATCAGGGGTGAGGGGAGCTTGTATCCATCCAGCAGACCAGGGCACTGCTTTTCTGTCTCTCCTTCCAGGCCTCCGGCATGGGTCAGTGACACTGGGCTTGGGAAATGATTCTTCCCCCACCCCCCAAAGACCCTGAGCACTGAGCCAATCCACCAGTAGTGTTCAAGCAAGAGAGGGCTGTGGGGCCTGAGAACAGAGACATCAGATAAGAGGGAATCCCCAGCAGAAACCAGCATGCTCCACCCCAACACCACCCCACGCACCTCCTCTTAAAACTTGAGCTGCTTTGTGACCCAAGCTGTGTCTGCTCATGTTCCCAGGGGCTGTTATTGCAAAGGATTTGTCTGGAGACCCAAAGGGGTGGGGGCTCTCAGAGCGCAACCTGGATTGGAGATAACCCACCCCCTACACACAGCCCAGAACCGGCCACCCAGGTCACACACAACTCCTGTTGTGTAGCAGTGCTGTGCCTGGTGGCAGGTGTAAGCTTTGCAGGATTGCGCCACGTCCTGGCATGAGCCGAGGGCCTCCAGGTTCCCTGCAGGTCAGAGAGAAGAAGCAACCAACTGGCGTAGATTTTCTCACTGTTCTCCCCAGGTTTATATTCATAAGACAGTCGTTCTCGAACAGCTGACTCCGGAGGTTTTCCGAGTTCTGTGCCTCATTAGCCTCTTTTTGAGGGGTATTGACTACAGCCTGGCTCAGAGAGGGTGGACAGGTTTTTGCTGAGTCACACAGCAAACCTACTGTGGAGACAGAGGTGCGTGAAGTGTTTGGAGCCTGAGGGCCCAGTCTCCTGGGTCGTCACTGCTTGGAGTCCCCTCCCTCTGTTTCTGTGGTCTTTGGACCCAAGCAGGTTCTGGCCTGCTCTGACAGATTACCTAAGGGCTGTGTGCCTCTTATGAAGGCCGATGGGATAGACAAAACTCCTAGAAGCCTTCTTCTGTGACATATTCAGGTGGCTGGAAAGGGAATATTAGCATCTCAAAAGCTTGGGCCTTTTGACTTAGGCTGAAAAGCAATCTTCTTAGAGCTTCCTTTTCCCTTCTATTAAATAGGGATAACAGATTATCACAAGGTTAAATGGGCTCCAGTAAATAAAGTTGGCAAGTGGATTTCAATAATCAGTAGCCACTTCACTGCAAATCCTGAAATCCAAATCTAACTGGACCCATCCTTCTCCTAACACGAGAAGAGACAGAGGAGCTGTCTCCGGGCAGGGAATCTCTCCTCCGAAACCCAGGCCCACAAATTACAAGGCTTATTGGCTTGTGTGACCCAATTACTAGCCCCGTGGGCCTCTGTGAACACTTCACCGTTGGCCTCAGGAGCCAGTGAGGCCTGCCCACCGGTGAGGACAGAGGCTCGCTGCTACCCTGCAAGAAGAAAGTGCGTCAGATGGAAGTAGCCCAACAGGTTGCTGAGCTGTGGAAAATAATTAAACTGGGGGAGAAAAAAACACTTCTTTAAAAAATCAGGTTAGGTATGAATGTGCAGGGCGTGGCCCGTGTAATTAGCCGCTCTGCTGGCTTCTCCCCGGGCCCGTTGTGTCAGGCCTGCTCCTGCCTGCCTTGCTCTCCCTCCTCTCGGGCTCCTCCCTGCTCCTGTAGGTGTGTCTCCGGCTCGGTGGCTGCCTGCCCCACTCCCTGCCGAGACACCCGGTGGAGAGGTCACCGACTGCGCAGCCCCAGTGCCCGAAACCCACCAGCCCAGTGACCCACCATGGAAGCTGCAGACGCCTCCAGGAGCAACGGAGCCAGCCCGGAAGCCAGGGATGCCCGCAGCCCGCCCGGCCCCAACGGCAGCCTGGAAAACGGGCCCAAGGCTGAAGTCAAAGACGCCAAGACCACCAACGGGCATGGCGGGGAGGCAGCCGAGGGCAAGAGCCCGGTCAGCGCCCTCAAGTCTGGGGAGAGCAAGAGCGCCCTGTTCTCAGGAAACGACTGGCGGCGACCCATCATCCAGTTTGTCGAGTCTGTGGATGACAAGAGCTCCAACTACTTCAGCATGGACTCCGGGGAGGGCCGGAGATCACCCTACGCCGGGCTCCAGCTGGGCGCTGCCAAGAAGCCGCCCGTCACCTTTGCTGAAAAGGGGGAGCTGCGCAAGTCCATCTTCTCAGAGCCCCGGAAGCCCACGGTGTCCATCGTGGAGCCTGGAGAGAGCCGGCGGAACAGCTACCCCCGGGCTGACACGGGAGGCATCCTCCTGCGCCCCAAGTCGAGCTCCGAGGAGGTCCTGTGTGACTCCTGCATCGGCAACAAGCAGAAGGCCATCAAGTCCTGCCTGGTGTGCCAGGCCTCCTTCTGTGACCTGCACCTCAAGCCCCACCTGGAGGGTGCCGCCTTCAGGGACCACCAGCTGCTCGAGCCCATCCGGGACTTCGAGGCCCGCAAGTGCCCCCTGCATGGCAAGACCATGGAGCTCTTCTGCCAGACCGACCAGACCTGCATCTGCTACCTGTGCATGTTCCAGGAGCACAAGAATCACAGCACGGTGACCGTGGAGGAGGCCAAGGCCGAGAAGGAGGTAACTGGCCTGACGCCCTGGACTCGTCCCTCCTACCTGATCTTCTCCCCCTGGGGGGTCCCTAGGGTTTGGGGCTCAAGTCTCCTCTCCTGTCCTTGTCCTTTCGCACCCCTGCTCTGGGGATCAGAGGCTGTTCCTTGGCCCCCCTAAGGCCTCTGGAGACAGAGGCATTTCCTAATGGAGCCAACAGAGGCTCTGGAGAGAGTTCAGGCTCCAGCAAGGTCACAGCATAAATTCAAGCCAGATCAGAGAAGCAGCACCCACTCCTGCGTGCTGTGCCCGACGGCAGTGTTTTTCTTCTTTTTATTTTTAAATATCTTTTTTTCCTGGCTTCAGACTTTGCATTTGCGGTTTGATGGCTCCTTGCCCTGACTGCCTCTCTTTCCCTTTCCCCTGTCCCCCCATTGGCCTCTTGACTCCCCAAAGGCCTCCTTTATCTTTCTCTGAGCTGGGCCCGTGTGCGTCGGGTGTGTGGCTGTGAGTGGACGTGCCGTGCCTGTGGGAGGACTCTGGGTGAAGGTGGGCGCGTGTGTGGGTGGGGGAGGCATGTCTCTGTGTGTGTGCGTTTATAGGCGGGTGGGTGTTTATGTGCGTGTGTGGAGCTTGCCTATATCTGTAGAGGTGACACGTGTTTGCGTAAGGCCTATATGTATGATGCTGCTGTACTTCTCTGGGGGGCGGGGGGAGGATCGTGAATGGGGTACACCTGGGCCCACTATTTCCCCTTCCTACCATGGGTGGTCTCCCATCTGCATTAGCCTTTCTGGTGGTCGATGCAGGCACATAGAGGGAGAACATGGAAGGAACATATGGGACGTGAATATATAGGGCGGTGCAGGGACTTGGCCTTCGTCAAGACCTTCGGCACCCCTCAGAATGGGAGTACGCAGACCCGTCCCCCTCCAGCCTTCCCAACCAGGACTTCGCTGATTGCTGTCTCCCTGTACCCCTTGCCCACACCCTTAAATAAAGAGGGACAAATCAAAATTAAAAATAGGCCCCTCGAAAGTGCTTTTCAGGACCCTCATTGGCCCAGGACGGTGTTGCCTCCAGAGGCTACTCCTGACCCCTGCTCTACTCCACACCTCTTACTGGGAGGTAGAGATGGGCCAGGGACTTGGGACCTTCCTTGGGAAATCAGAACAGACCAAGGAGTGATCATCTTCAGCCACCACAAGCAAGAGCACACAGAGCCTCAGACCGGAGTCTAGGAGCCTCCTGGGTTCCAGGCCTGGCTTTTGTCTTGAACTAGTTCAGCTGTCAGGTTGTGAACGCCTCTCTTCCACATTCTTCCCATATGGGAAACTAAGGGTCTTCAAGTGACCCCTGGAGTCCTGGGATTCTTGAACTGCCTTCCAGGAGGAGGGGGCAAAAGGAGACTGGGGCTCCAGTTCTCACTTCCGCTGCAACCAGCACCCACGTTCCAGTCTGTTCTATAGGCAGCTTTTACCCCCAATCTCAGCTGAACCAAGCGTACCACCACTTAGACTAGCCCGAGTGCCCTGCAGGGGCCAGGCTGGTGCTCTGGGCAGACAGAAAGGCCTCAGGCCGCTCTTCGGAGGGAGCAGGAGCCGAGTCCGCGTTCTGGCACTGGGGGCCACTGTGGGACTCAGTGCAGAGCCCTGGCCTCTGGGGCACACGATGTAGGTCAAGAGGCAGAGCTCGGACACACAAACAACCTGGAGAGTGTCCACCCAGCTACTCCGCACTCAAAGTGAATGTCACGGCTGGGTGGGGGTGAGCAATCTATTGGGAAGGGTGTTGGGGAAGGGCTTGCGAGGGATGGAGCTCGGATACGTGTGCTTTACTGGTGCTTTCAAGGAAAACTGATCCACGGAAGTGACCCTAACAGCGGGAGGTGTGTGCAGTGTGCATGTGTGTGTGGACGTTTGTGTGCATGCGTGTGCCGGCATACAGAGGGCAGGACGCCCGGGAGCTGAGGTGGAGCATCCTTTCTAAGGCTGGCTCAGTGGAGTGTCAGATGTGGGGGGTATTAGCACACAGTAGGAGCGGTGGGTTGATGGATCAAAGTGAACGAACGTGTCAATCCTGGCAGCCTTTGGAGGTGTTCCCTGAACCCCAAACATCAGCCCCCACACAGCTTTTTGCAAGGAGCTCTGTCTGGAACCTGTTCTGCAGGGTGGCTGGTGAGGTAACCCCAGACCTAAGTTGATGAGTTGCGTGAGGCTACAGATGACACCCAGGCTGTGGGTGCTCCTTTCGTGGGCCCCAGCTCTACCACTGACGCCGAGCGGAGGCAGGGTGGGAGAAAGGACCAGCTGATGTGGCAATAGGACAGACTTTCTGGGGGACCCAGGTCAGGATGTTTCCAGTTCCACTCCAGATGTCTCAAGGGGTTCCACAGATGTCCTCTGGTCCACACCTCCCTCCCCAGCCCAGATATTTCCTAGACTGGATTAGGCCGATGAGATCAAAACACATTATGTATTCACCCTGTTCTGTACCTCATGGCTCCTCCTTCCTCCCACTTACTGCTGCAGGTCAGGCCAAAGGACCTTGGGCTAGTCTTTGCCTGGGCTCTGGGTTGGTAGCCTGGCCAGCTGCGAGTGGACAATGCTCAGCCAAGCGTCACCATGGGGGTCCAAATGCCCCGTGTGTGAGCATGGCTCTGATTTGGTGCCTGGGTCAACCCCCGTCTCCGCTGTCTGACTCAGCTGGTATCTCTCGCTATGCCCCAAGACTTTCTCAGCTCATTGCCCAATTCGTCCTTGGAGCTGTTTGAGCTCCAGGCTGCTGGGCCTGGAGTTTCCATAACAGGGCAGGAAGACGCTGTGTGACAGAGTTGACTGGATTGTGGAAGAGGGACCTGGCAAAGGCCTGGGATCCAGCAGAGAGAGCTGGGATCACACTCCTCAGAGATCTTGGAAGAGGACAGGGGATGTAAGAAGGGACGTAGAATGGTCTCATGAGGGAATGGTAGAATGGTTATTAAGAGGGAAAGAGCTAAAGGAAAGGTTTAGATGCAGGAAGCAGGGAGGGAGGACCACAGCAGGTCTCGCGCCGCCTACGGAGAGCAGCTCTGTGCCAGGCCCTGGTCGTTCCTACAATAGCCCCTTACAGTGGGGTTTCTACACTTGTTTCAGGAAGAAAACAGCTCAACGATGCCAAGAAGCTTACCGAATGCACAGGGCTGGCATTCAGGCCGAGGCCGCCATTTTAAACATGGCTGACACGGGACGGGCAGGCTCTCCCTGGGGTCACTGAGGCCAGGGGCCCCCACCCCGGTCCTCAGGCCTCAGTCACCTGGCTCCAAGCCTTCCGTCAGGAGCTTCAGTATCAAGGTGTCTGGGCCTGGGGCCTGTTTGAAATCTCCCTTGGGCAATCTAGGGTGTAGTCAGAGTGGGGATCGGGAAGCTAGTCCCATTTCACGTCACTGGGAGAGGTGAGACGACTTCTTCAAGGACTAATGGCTGGTCTGGAGGTGGCCTGGGTGGTCATATCTCCCCATTCACGGTGCCCCTCCTCTGACCCTCCACCCAAGGAAGCAGAAGGAATATTAGGCCCCAATCAAGCGGACTAAAATTGGACTGTTTGCTGTCTAGGTGGAAATGGAGAAATCTATCTGGCCTTTCAGATTCTTATCCAGATAATTACCGTTTGTCTGAGAGTACAAATTTGGCAATTAACGGGCTCATTCGGCAAATGTCACAGCCAAGGGCCCCAACGGCTAATTGGGGCTGGGGAAGCGCTGTGCCTATCTCCTCTCTGCAGGGTCCAGTCCACGTCCTGGTGGGTGCTCCGGTCTGTCTGCACCCGGCCCTGTCCAGGCTGAGCCACCAGCAACGTGCCACCCCTTTCTTTCGGGGAAGACTCTGTTCCCCTCAAGGCCAGAGGGTTTCCAGGCTGGGTGGCCCATGTGGGGCCTGGCCTGGGTATCACAGTGAGAACAGCCAGACGAGTGGGAGAGGGAACAAAGGAGGCATTTAGGAACAGGCCTGGGCAGGGCTGGGGAATGAAACAGGGAGTGGGAGGCAGTCAGGAGGGAGGTGTAGACTGGGCTGGAACTGTGGGAAGCCGAGACCCCGACCGGACAGCAGCGGCTTTAGTCAATTCCAAGAGGAGAGCGGGAAAGAGGAAGCTCGGGCCTCAAGGGTGACAGGGAGGGTGTAGGGACTAAAAGTGGGGAGGGTGATGGGGATGAGGTAGAATCACCAGATGCACTGTCTGGGAGGTGGAGGGGCAGCTGGGTGGGAGTGAAGAGGAAACTTGGGAGGGACAGAGAACATTAAGAGGGTAAGAAGCCACGAAACAGGCCTGAGTCCTGTGGCCGTCTCTTGGACTTCTCACTTTCCAGCTGTGAGAAGCTCAGACAGTCTCCATTATCCTTCTAAACCTTGGTTCCTGCATCTGTCATATGGGGGTGACACCACTTACCTCCACAGGGGCATTTGAGGGTGAAAGGAGAAACGCCAGCACGTAGTAGATGCTCAATAATATAGGTTAGAGTCCTTCCTTCTGGTGTTGCAAAAGAACCCAGTGTCTGTGGAGAGTTCCTGGGTTACAGTGTTGCCTATATCCTGCCTTTCCAGCTTTGAGTGACCCTGCCAGCTGGGAAAAATTGCCAAGAGCTAAACTGAGGCTGATGGTCATTCTTCTGCAGGTGTGAAAGGCCTTCCCAGCAGCACAGAGCTCCCAGTGCAAGGTGCATTCCAAGATCCGGCTGGTCTTGCAAGGCAAGCCTTGGGAGCCAGGCCCCCTCCCAGCCCGTGTTGATTTCCCGAGTGCCCCAAAAAGTTAGGGAGGCCTAGCCTCTCCTCCGCCCACTGCTGCAGACAGCTTGGCTCCACTTTTGACCCTGCCCTTTCTGTTCCAGATCGGCTTCTTCCGTCTTCCCCTCCCAGGTCACTGGCTGACATCATTAGCTCTCCTCTCCACACCTCTGCTAGCACCCCTCCCTCTCACAGGTCAGACACCCGGGGCTGGCCCTCTCTGCCCTTAACTAGGCTCCCATTGCTCTAAAACCCACTGGAGTCATCTTCCTGTGCTCAGGGCCTTCCTCCTTCTTGATCAGTGAACCTTTCCTCAGCTCCAGTACTCACCCAGATGAACATGCCTCCCCCTCCCCAGAGCTCCCCTAAAAATCGCTGCCCACTCCAGCTACTCAGCTTCCTAAGCCTCCTCCACCTTCTCTGCTCAAACCCTTTCCACTTGACCCCTTTCCTCCCTGAATTATCTGAATTATCCAGTGTTCTCCAGTCCTCAGTTGTCCAAACCCTAAGCCTCTATGTTGTGTCTTTGGTCCGATGTTTTGACCTCCCCGTCTCTCTAGCTGTCCTTTGCTCTGTGTCCCCACAGTGTGAACACTGTACCTGCACCCCACTATGACAACACACACTGTCCTCATGCTGAACATTGCCAGGCCCTCACCTAATGGCATCTGCCGCTCCCCTCACTTCCTGGGGCCCCGATGGCCACCCGCCACCCTGCACTCACTCCCTGAGCTTGGAGGGATTGAAAATGCCCAGCAAGGCTTCTGGCCTGGGGCAGGCGCCCCACACGGCAGTGACCGTGGGCCCACAGTTCCACCAGCAATTTCTCTGTGCCAGGCATTTTCTGTTTTACCTCCTGATCCTGTGCATCCTGCGCTCTGAGCAGGAGGGTAGGAAACAGCCCTTTAACTCCGCAGAAGAGGCACAGAGGTTAAGCAACAGGTCAAGGTGGCCTGCCCGGAGGTGGTGGGGACTGGATTAGAAACTTTGGACTCTCCGTGCTGTGCTTCCTCCTGGACCCCCTGCCCCTGTCATGGAAGGGCTGCCCACCCCACGGGATCTGTGTGCGAGTGCATACAGATTTGCTCTCTGCTTTCCCGTCCAGCAGCCTGCTCTGCAGGACAGTGGAAGGCGAGGAGGGCTGAGAAACACAGGCCCCAGTCTGGCCCCGCTGTGTCGGCTGCCGAGGGAAGGAAGCCTACCAGGACACCCTGGACTTCAGGCCCGGCACAGGGGCGCTCGGGAAGGGAAGGTTGTCCAGGCCAGACCAGCCTCTTGACCCCTTCCTCCTGGCTCAGGTCCAGCCAGCAGGCCTGGACTTCTCGGGGGCCGTCCCGGCTCCGGCTCCGGCTCCGGCAGCCTGTGTTCTGGGCTCTTGGGTTCTGCTGCCTCAAAGCTTGTGTCCACCAGCCACAATGGGCCTGAAGCCTTTCTCTCTGCACTGGCCCTTTTGACAGCTGGGCCAGGCTGCTCACCAGCCTCTTTTGCAGAGACCAGGTCAAATCTCTTTCCTCAATCTCTTTTTAACTCTTCCCCCAAACATTTCCCAGCTCTGGTAATGGCCATTTTCCAGGTGTGGGATTTCCACTGCAGGCTGGATGGTTCAGAGAATGGAGAGTCTTCTTGCTGGACAGGCAGAGTGTGGGCAGAGAGCAGGATAGAGCCAGGAGCTTTCTGTGGGGGCTCTGCAACTCCTCCTCAGACTCCCCCGCCTTCCACCAGCCCCATGACCCTCCTCTCCTGGCTGAGTTTCCCCAAAAAGTCAGGGAAACCCTCTCCAGCATCCCCCGACTCCCCTGGGTGTCTCCCCTGGCGCCCACCAGCACCCCTCTGTCTGTGGCGCTTTCGGTCTGTGCCCTGTGTAACATCCCATCCGCCAAGATCCGTGTCCGGTGCTCGGACATCTGCCCACGGGGTTCAGATTCCCCGTGGTTTGTGGCTTCTGCATCTTGACTGTTCCGTGGGTTCTTCAAAGAGAGGCCGGAGGAAGAGACTCTACCTTCAAAACCATGGTGGCAGAGACACGGGCGCCCCCAGGCTTTCTCAGCTGCCTTGGCACCCCGCCTCTGAGGTGGTGCTCACCCACCTGTCTCTGACAGCCTCAGGGGAGCCCCACACAGCAAGAGAGGCGGCTCTTGAGCTGGCTGAGTCGGACTGGCCTCCGTTTCCTGCCTGTGCTCTGCTGCTTTCCAGAGAGGGGCTTGGCCGCAGTGGAAGGACATTGTGGACCTGAGAGCGCTCTTCCTAGTGCACTCCTGATAGACCTGATAGATCCCCTTTCCAACCCAGCCTGGACTCCAACTGCCCATGTCCTTCCCCCAAACCTCCCCTCCCCTCCCCTCCTCAACCCTCCCCTCCCCTTTCCATCTCTCTCTTCCCCTCCTCTCTCCACCTCCCCTCTTCTCTCTCCTCCCCTCTCTAACCCTCCCCTCCCCTCCCTTCTCCTCCCCTTTCCTCCCCTCCCTGCCTCTCTCTCCTCTCCTCTCCCTCTCACTGCCTTATGCCCTACCTTGTCCCATACCCCCTCCAGGGACCCTAAATAAAAGTCCCTCTCTAACCCAAACTGGTGACTGCCTTCTCTTCCCTATAAACAAGTTATAGCTGTGCCTGCCCAGACGGAGTCCCTGCCCCAGGCAGCCCCAGCGCCTGCTTGCAACACAGGCCCCACGTCATGCCACAGAAACCCTGCCATGGGACTGTTACTGCCATGGGACACTCCCTAGGCTGGGTCCCCTTCCTCCCCTTAGCTTGAAAGAGGCAGGAGCCTCGCTTGCTCTCCCGGTAGCCAGCCGGGTCTATTGAAAGGAGTGAGCACCCCATAAATGAGCTTTCCTCCCGTTCTGGGTGGGCGGGGGAAGACTGCCCTGCTTGCCCTCATAAAGACACGGCCCCCAGAGGCCTGAGTTTACAGCAAGATGCTGTCTGACTCACTGCTGATCCCTGGCGACCGGCACGACACCTGGTTTGCTGAGTGAAGGCCTGCTGAGCGCTGCCCAAGCTTCACCTGGGAGACCCACTGCCTGGGTCTCTGGTTCTCTCCCACAACCTCCCCATGACTTCTCTTCCATCCCGGCCTCTTCCTGCAGACGGAACTGTCACTGCAAAAGGAGCAGCTGCAGCTCAAGATCATTGAGATTGAGGACGAAGCCGAGAAGTGGCAGAAGGAGAAGGACCGCATCAAGGTGAGCATCTCCTGCCCGCCCCCCACCCCGGGCTGTCGTCCCTCCGCCCTTCGCCCTTCGGGGAGGAGCTTGACCTTGGCATCTGTCTGATGCCTTGGATCTACTTACATGCTACACTTGTTTCTTCTGGGTTCTCCTGCTCCCCTTGTTTTCCCAACAGTCTCCTGCTAGACCTGGGCCAGGCATGCAGGGGGAATCTTGTTCCCTACCCAGTGCTCTTCGCACGTAATCCCAGGAAATAAAGCCCTTAGGCTGGCCTGTCCTCCAATGTGTGTTTCAATGTCCTCCAGGGCTGCTCTGCCCACCAGACTCCCCAGCCCCCGAATGCGAGCCCTCTCTCCTTCACTCCTGCCCATATGGCTAGGTGGATGTCTGCCCTAGTTGGAGTGATTGCAAACCACACTCTGAAATTGCTCATTCTTGAGCTTGGCCACCTTCACAACCTGTCAATTCACTTCTGAATAATGTCGATTCTGGCGAGAGCTTGGTGTACACTTCCCGGTTCACAGGGGAAATTTCTGGGCCCCAAGGGTGTCACCTAAGGGTGGAATGAGAGCGCCTGTCAACTCACTGAGGGGAAGCGCTGTGCATGGGAGGGCAGGGGAGGGCGGCTGGCCCCAGCTCTCGCAGACGGCACCCTTACTGGACGCTCTTCAGTTAGATTCGTGGCCAGCAGACTTGCTGGCTTGGGGCAGCAAAACGTCCTGGCTCTGTGCTGGGATCTAAAGAGACTCCCTGGGAGGGAGGCTTTTAATTACTGAAACCCGCCTCTCCCTTGGCCCCTCTCTCCACCTAGAGCTTCACCACCAATGAGAAGGCCATCCTGGAGCAGAACTTCCGGGACCTGGTGCGGGACCTGGAGAAGCAAAAGGAGGAAGTGAGGGCTGCGTTGGAGCAGCGGGAGCAGGATGCCGTGGACCAAGTGAAGGTGATCGTGGACGCTCTGGATGAGAGGGCCAAGGTGCTGCGCGAGGACAAGCAGACGCGGGAGCAGCTGCACTGCATCAGTGACTCGGTGCTGTTCCTGCAGGTAACGGCCGCCCCTCAGCCGCCCGGCCTCTGGACTCCTGCCCACTGCCCAAGCCCTCAGCCAGCATCCTTCCCTCTGCCCATCCGTCCATCCGTACACCCATGCATCCTTCTGTCCCGCTGTCTGTCCACCCACCCACTCACCTACCTATTCATCTATCCAAGCGCCAGTCCATCTGTCCACTTAATTCTTCTGTTCAAGTCAGTTCCTTGCCTACTTTCAAGATGGCATTTGAAGATCACTTTGTACCACTGTTCGCTGGTAGGTGCTCACTGTGGTCCTGGCTTAGTAGGAAAGTCTTCCGTGATGGGTTAATGTTGCCTGCTGTGGGAGTTTAGGAGTGCTGCGGATTTGTCTTCTGTGATGTTGTCTGTCGGTCTGTTCATCCAATCACTCCATCTGCTAGGGTATGTTGGGGACTCCTACGAGCCCACCACTTGATTAGTGCTGGGGAGAATGGGGGAAGAGTGAGACATGATTTTTGCCCCCAAGGAGCTGCAAACCAGCAAGGAAGATAAAACATGCACAATTAGAGAACAATATAGGAGAGGGTGTAATTAAATGATAAAGCATGTGGTTCAGGAGATAAGAGCTGGCGGAGACTCTGAGAAGGACAAGCGGGCTGAAATCGTAGGAGACAGCTTGGTGGAGAAGGAGGAATTCAAGCTGGATCTTGCAGTCTATTAGGATTCGAGGAGGAGGAGGGATTATCCAGTGAGTGAGAGGGGTGAGAAGTACCCAGGGTAGGCACAGGACTGGGTGTGTCAAGGCGGAGCTACACAAAGTCTCCCCAGAACACGAGAGTGATTCCTCCCACTTCTCTAGCGCTTCCCGAAGACCTCCCAGCCTGTGTGCCGATCACCCCTAGAGGAAGGTGTGATGGACTCAGCTTTCGCGGTCGAACCGTGGCATCCCTGGTTCCATGAAGCTAGATCCTTTGCAAAGCAGGGTCCCCCTGACTCCTAGAGACCCAGGAAATACATGGCTCCTTTGCTTTCTTGTTAGGAATTCGGAGCCTTGATGAGCAATTACTCCCTCCCTCCTGCACTACCCTCCTACCATGTTCTGCTGGAGGGGGAGGGCCTGGGACAGTCCCTGGGCAACTTCAAGGATGACCTGCTGAACGTGTGCATGCGTCACGTTGAGAAGATGTGCAAGGCAGACCTGAGCCGGAACTTCATCGAGAGGAACCACATGGAGAATGGTAGGTCCCCACAGCCAGGCCCCAGTGCTGTGGGCATCATTGGCCCGGTTGCTTTCCTGCTGCCTGATGTATGCTGCGGAATCCAGCTGGCCCCTCGTGGCACTGTTCCAACTAAGAGTGTTTGGACTAGGTGTCAAGAAATGTATCCCTGCTCCTCCATTGAATTTGCTGCCAAACGTAGGCAGCTATCACCAGGGGTGCCCAAAACAGGGGGCATCTGGGACAGGAATGCCTCCTCTCGATGGGTGGTCTACAGAGGCCAGGGGCCGGATTCTTTCAGATCTGCCTCTCACAGAGGGGTCAATCCTAGTAGCTTGCAGACGCTGTTGCTTATGAGGGCCAGGGCCAAGCCAGTGGGTTTGTAGACTCCGGGAGACCTGACTTGAACTGCTTCCAGGCTTGGAGGGTGAAATTTCCTGTCACTATGAGCAGCATTGAGCCCAGAGGCTGGGGCTAGACCTCGCCTGGAGGACCAGGCTGGGGACAGTAGGATACAGTATATCTTAGTGACTCACTAATACCCCTGAAGTCAGCTTCTTTTCTGAGTCATGCTGTCCCCCTCAGGGGCCAACTGAATCATCTCGCAGAAAGCCTCCTAACCGGAGAAACTACCCCGTTAATTCTGTTTCTACCAATCCCAGCCCAGTGCCTTTAGGGTCTGAAGCCTGGGCACTTTCCCCAAGGCCCCACCCTCTGGCCCAGGCCTAACACGAGGTCCTGAGGACACAGCCTGATCATTGACTTCTAGCCCTAAACACTTCAAAAGAGGTGCGAGCTCCCTGTGTGCATTCCTGAAGGGTCTCCCTTCAGTAGTGCAGCACACAGGTGAGAAGGCCAAGGCTCAGAGACATAGCCTTTCAGAGGGTACCCAGCTCACGAGCCCACAGGGGCGCACTGGGCTTTCACCCTGCTCTTCAGCCTCCCAGGTCTTCTCATCTGAGAAGCAGCTGCTGCCGCTGGCCGAGCAGAGGGGTTGGAATGCGAAATGATGACCGTTCCTGGGACACCAACCTTAGCTGAGGTCTGCTTAGACCTATGAGAATGACCTTGTGCTGAGGGGGGCCTGTGAGCCTCACAGGCACCGTCCAGACTTCTGGCCACCTACAATGTCATTTCTAGGTCATGGTGGTGTTGACTGTGGCCTTCATGCAGGTGTGGCCTGCCCCTGAGCTAGTGTGCAGGGAGGTGGCCACCAGGAGCAGGGAAGGGTGCTGCTGATGTCAGCGGCCCTGGGCCTGTTTGGATTTTGGCTGCTGCTGTGTTGTTATTGGGACTGCGTCTGGCTGAGGCGGCGAGGGTGACTGAGGGAGGTGGTTGGTGAGTCAGACTTTGGAAAGACCATTCTCTCTCCTCCCTGAAGCTGGCCTGCCCACCAGGCCCAGTGCTCACCAAACCAGGGCCTATGCCTACCCTCAAAGGCCCAGGGCTGAGAGGCAGCAGACTGCTGTCATCCTGGTCTGGGATAACACCAAGAGGATGCTCCTGCCATGGAGTGCCCCTGTGTGCCAGTGAAAGATAAGGTCCCACTTCTCCTCTTGCCCAGGAGAGAGGGAGAAGGAAGGGCAGAGGGAAAGTGGCAAGAGAAAGGAATGGGTGGAGATGGACTGGGGAAGATGAGCATGGAGCCAAGATGTGTTCAGATTTGGGGGTCTGCTGGTGGGTACAGGGGTACCAAGAGGCATCAGTGCTCCTTTTGAGTGGCTCAGCTCCCTGGATCCCTGGTCAAGGCGGAACCATGTGCCCCCTCTCAGGCTGCCAGTCGTGGGGAGATGGAGCTGGGAAGTGGGGACCAGAAATCAAAGCCCCAACTCTGTCCTTATCTACCATGTGACATTGGGCAAGTGACTTCACCCAGTTGAGTCCACTTTCTTACCTGATACACAGGGATCTTTGGCCACGGAGCTGATGCCCAGATCAGACAGAAACGGTTAACAGCACTCTGTAGAGCTGGTGCCAAGGTTCTGACTCTGGGGGCTCACACAGTGCTCCCGCTCCCCAGGAGCAAGGTCCAGGGTGCAGTATCACCTTCCCTGAGCTTGGGGAAGCTTGCCTCTCCCGGGGCAGACAGGCGAGAGCCGAGTGAGCAGACCAGGATGCCCAGGGACTGCTCTCCCTCGCTGCCAGTCCCAGGGCTGAACCATTCTCTCTCTCAGGGGGCGACCATCGCTACATGAACAACTACTCCAACAGCTACACTGGCGAGTGGAGCGCACCGGACACCATGAAGAGATACTCCATGTACCTCACGCCCAAGGGTAAGGCGGCCCCGCCCCGGGGGCCCGTGATCCGCACAGACTCCTCTGGGTGGAGTGTCCGTCTGTGTTTGCTGGGAGATTCCAGCAGGCCCTGTCTTCTGGTGTAATCATCAAGAGAACCTCGCTTTGAGACTTCCTCCCCTATGACATAGGCTGTCGCCTCCAGTTTACACCCTCCCTTCTCTGTGCCTGGCTGTGGACTTCTGGGGGAGGCAGCTGGATGCCCAGGACCTACCAGGCCCTGGTTTCCTAAGGCTAGTTAGGTTCCCTAGTTCTTGACCCTGTGGAGGGTAGGGCGCCTCCAGAACATTCCACCTTCTAAGGGCAGGGGGGGAGACAGCTGCTGTTTTTCTGAATTTCCTCTCTGCTCTCCCTGGCCTGTGGGGTGACGACTTGGGTGGGGTATGGGCCAGCGCCTGCCTGGCCAAGTCCTGTAGGAAACTGTCACATTCTTTGGCACCAACAATAAACCACAAGAATGCCCGTTACATAAGGGTGGGTGTGCCAGGTGTGCCGTCCTCATGGTGGGGTGCTTGCATGCCCGTGGGGAGAGGGTCGAGGAGAATGGGGTCTGCAGAGAAAGGAGACTTGGGAGAAGACACGAGGGCTGGGAGAGGGAGCCTGGGGCCCCGAGGCTGAGTCATACACACACACTGGGAAGGGCTTAAGGGATTTGGGGAGATGAGCTCAGTGAATAGGAACCTCCACTGGTGGCCACCGCCCTTCCCAGGTGAAAACAACACCTGGACTTCTGGGGGAGGCAGCTGGATGCCCAGGTCCCTCACCCCACATTCCTGCTGTGGGCCAGGCCTCATGGACTTCCTTTTCCCTCCCAGACACTGCCCCTTGGTTCTGGTTCTGAGAACAGGGGAGGAACCCCAGCCTCCTCACCTTGCCCAGAGTCCTTCTGTCTCCCCACTGTGATGAGGGCTAACCCTGGCATGACCTCTAGTACCCCACTGGCCTCTGTGAGGATCCCCTACTCTAAGAAAAAGCAGCGAGGTAGCACAGAAGAACATGAGGGGGACGTTGAGAGCCAGGCTCGTGCCTCGGGCTGGCCGCTGCCCGTCGGTATCCCCACCTGAGCAGACAAGACTGGCCCTAATGCTAACACAGATTCCAGCTCTGGTGCTGTGAGTCAGGCTGTGGCATTGTGGGCGGAAGGAACGCGTTCATCCAGTGACCCTGGACGGCACCTGGGCAGTAGGGGGAGGAAACCTGCCCTCTGGCAGCTCCCAGGCTCAGGGCAGAGTCAGGGAATGCCCCGAGAGTGAGCCAGGAGCTCAGGAAAGGAGGCCACAGATGGGCCACCAGGCCTGGGCCTGGGCCTCCGGGGTCAGTAGGAGGAGACAGTGGGATTCCCAGGGAGACCCCTGCAGAGGGCAATGCTCTGGGCAGGCTGGGGGAGCCGAGGGGTCGCCGGACACAGCGTGGGGAGGGAGGGCCGGTAGGGGCGGGACCAGGGGGGCCAGACTGGGAGGGGCCCCTCGGGCGGGGCGGGAAAGGCCCGAGGGAAGGATCTGGGGAGCACGTGGTCGTTTCCGCAAGTGGGGTGAGGTTCTGCTTCTGCCTTCTCCACACTGGCGAGGGAGCCAAGCCAGGGAGGGAGCACGTGAGCAACGTGTCTGCCCCTCCCCAGAGGCGGGGGCGCCCGGGAGAGGCCATGTGGGGAGCCCCTACTTTGCCCGTGTCCGCCTCCTGGGCAGCCCGTCTTGCACACAGGCACCCACTCCCGGGCCTCTGAGGTCTCCGTCATGCAGGGGCTGATGGCCAGAGGGAAGTGCTGGCCATTCAGGTCTTCAGAGACCCCTAAGGCCCCAAAGGAGAGTGACCTGAGTACAGCCAGGTGCCTCTGCTCTTGGTGCAGTTAGTAATGTGCACTTCGCTCTCCAAGTGTCCTGATTGGGGTGACCTAGTGACCCCCCCCTAGACCTAAGGGAGCTGGTCCAGGTGCTGTGTCAGGCCTTGGGGACCATATGGGGGCCAGGAATCTGCGTAACACCCCACACCAGAGGCCACAGGTCCCTGCGTTGAGCTCCACCCACCTTTTGGGGTGACGGCCATTTTCCTTCTGCTCCACAGTTGGTGCCAGGTCTTCATACCAGCCAGCGTCCCCCAACCGCCTCCAGAAGGAGACCAACCAGAAGAACTTCAACAACCTCTACGGCACCAAAGGTGGGAGATAGCTCAGCTCCAGGCTGGGCAGTCGTGGACGGGCAGAGCGGGCAGGAGGCAGGTATTGGGTGGTGACCGGGGCCAGGCGACGGGCAGGGGAGCTGGACCCCTCAGTGTGAGGTGAGAGACGTTGTTCCTCAGGCTGAAGGGAGGCAGCCAGGCACCCAGCCCCACTGGAAATGCCTGAACTGGTGCGTTCTTGCCCTGAAGATTGAGTCAAGGGATAGGCATGGAGACCCCTCTCGGCAGGAATCTGGGCCCGAGGCCCCCAGAGGTCCTTTCCTGGTTTCTATAACTTCTGCATCAAAAGTCGAGCAGAGGGTAAATCAGGCCGGTTTGGCTGCAAGCGGGAAAGATGGCACCGTGTGAAACAGGGCCGGGCCTGGGCTCTGGGGAGAGTGGGTGCCTTAGCCTTAAGACCCAGAAGACAAAAATGGGGGTGTAGACGTGGCTTCCCTGGGGAGAGAGCGGCCGAGCTCTGAGCCCCTCTGCCTGGTGCAGTGGGCACTGCTGTGCCATGGGAGCCTCAGTTCCGGGAGCCCCCGTTCCCTTCCGGAGGGCTCCTGGGATGTGCCAGCAGGCAGGAGCGGACAGACCAGCCAGGCCAGCTCCACCAGAATCCCATCTCAGGGGGCGAGGAAGGAGTGTGGGGGTCTTCAGTGAGGTCAGTTCTCCCCCTCCTGGCCCCTCCCCCCAAGATCTCGAGGATCGGAAGCACCATGGTTTACATTCCCCCACATGGCGGGACTGAGCTCCATGGGGCAGCTGCTGGGTCTGCACTGTCACTGCCGTAACCCCAGCCCAGAGGGAGGAGGCTCAGGAAACATTTGCTGAAAAGCAGGAGTGGAAGGCTAGGCCCATAAAGGGACGGAGAAAAGGAGGCCACGGTCCCTCAGAGCCATGGGGGAGAGGCGCCTTGGGGCTGGCTGCAGAACCTTCCTGAGAGCCCTGTGGGAGGGGGTTTGCACCAGGCCAGGGGCGTGCCCAGCTCCGCTGACCTGGAGCCTAACGTCAGCTCCCAGCCTCCCACAGCTGTGGAGAGGCCCCCGGCTCTGCCGAGCGAGCTTGGCTAAGGAGAGGCTCCCAACGCACCAGACCTCCAGAGCTGCCTTGTCTGCAGCCCCTGGGGTGGACTCCCTTCCAGTCTCCTTTCCCTCTAGACTGCAGAGACTTACTTGCAGGTAGATGTTTGTGGGTCTGTTGAACTGGGCAAACGGAATTTCAGGAGCTGTGCCAGCTGCCCCTGGTTTGCACTGATTCATCTGTTTGTTCGTTCCTCCGTCACTCAAACGATGAGCACTTTCTAGGAAGCAGGCTTGGGGCCTGTCCCGGGGTGATGCCAGGCCAGGGGGACCCATTCCCTGTGCCTGTGGGGCCCGAGGGGAGACAGACAATTACTTTTGCAATTACAACCTCTTAGGAGAGAGGGAGACTTGGGGTGCTGGGGAATGTAGGGTGCCAGACTGAGGCATACGCAGATGTAGTGGAAGTTGACTCTAAGGGCCCAGCAAGTGAATTTGTTCTCAGGGAGCAGGTGGGGTCTTCTAGAGATTCTGGTCTGTGGAAGTCAGTGCAGCCTGGCTGGGGCTGCAAAGACTGGAGGGGGGACGTGGGGGGACAGGGAAAGGGGGGGCAGCTGCATCTGAAAGGTCTGCAGACCCTGTTAAGGGCTTTGCACCTTCATCTGAGGACAGAGGGTCTCGAGGTGGGACCCTATGGCCTGTATAGTTCAGCAGGACAACCCGGAGGCGGGAGGGGCTGGCGGGAGGCTTGCTGTGGGCCACAGGGGAGTCCTGGTTTACGAGGCCACCCGCACTGGAGAGAGGCCAGTCCTGTCCTGGCCCCAGGCCAGGCCGCCCCGGTCTGACGCCTCTGCCTTTGCTCTCCCAGGGAACTACACGTCCCGCGTCTGGGAATACTCCTCCACCATCCAGAGCTCCGAGGACATGCCCCCTGTCCAAGGCAACTCCTCCTTCTCCCTGAAAGGTGAGCTCTGCCGCTTCTGATGCTGCTCCCCACCTTGTAGGGGACGCCCCCTGCCCCTGCCCTCAGAGGCACTGCCCTGCCAGGCCTTGGTGCCAAGGTGGGGCACATCTGGCCCTCCACACCCCCACCGGGACTCCCCATTCTGTGTCCCACAGGCTTCACAACTTCACTTGTTCCCCCCAGCAGCAGGGATTCTAGAACCCCGAGGCCAGGCGGCACAGCAGCATCTCACCAGAGTCCTGCTGTGCTCCCACGGGGGAAAGAGGGAGGCCTCCTGAGGCGACTCTGCTTCCAGAACTCTGGGAAGGCTGAGCAGTCAGTGATGCCGGTCCCCTGGGCTAGGTTATCCTGACGAGGAGCTTGGAGCCAGACCCCAGCTTATAAGGGGGCCCAGGCCCTTTAGTCTCTTCTGGAAGGACTCAGGGGCAGCTTGACCCAACTACCTTCTGGCCCAACTACCTTCTGGCATCGGGCATTGCCCTGGGAGAAAGGTGAAGTGGGCTGGGTGGGAGGGCAGTCGGGTGTACCGGGCAGGCAGGCTCCTGGGTCAGGGCCTCTGGGGGCCCTTTCTCCTCCCACTGTTCGCTCGGGGCTGGGGTCCCAGCGTATACTCAGGACAGGGCTTCTTGGAGTGGACAGTGAGGGGAAAGAGAAGGGACTATGATAGAGTATCCTAGCCTGCGGCACCCCTGGGGTCCTCTCCCAGAGCTCCAGGACTCGCCTTAGCTGCTCTGACTTCCAGTGGGTTCCTCCCTGCTCTTTGGTCAAACTTGAATCCCAGGCAGGGAAGATGGCCGCCCAGGCATGAGCTGGAGTTTTGCACACCCTGGTATCTCTGTATTGTAGAGCCTTTAGCCCTAAGAGGGCCCCTTCTCAGACACATTCCCCACCCCCACCACACCCCCAGGAAGAGCCTAGGGAGGATCACTGTCACACAGATGAGCTGCTAGGACAAGCAGGAGGGGTTACTGTGTGTGTGGGGGGGCTGCCTGTGTGCAAGTTGGCCTCCCCGAACCCTCTGACTTTCTGTCTCAAGGACTGCCCCCATTGGCCCCAGGGCTGGGAGAAGCGGGGTGCAGGCCTGGAACTTTGGGAGAGGGCTGAGCAAGGAGGCACAGAGAAGGTGTGACGCCCTGGCCACTCCTGGGGCCGGCACCCCAGCTCCTGCTCCTAATGCCTCTCTCTCTCCCAGCAGGCGCTGGGAAAGTCCCCTATCAGTTCACCACCCTGGGACAGGCCACCACAGAACTTTCCAAACCAATGGACGTCAGTGGGCTGTTTAAAAATAATCCCGGTACCTGCCCGCTTTCCATCCTCCCCTTTCCTCTTCCACACTGGGCAGGTGGGACAGCCTTCGGGGCGCTCTGCCACTTCTAGGGTGTCCTGGTCCCTCCTCCCCAGAGCCGAGGGATGCATGCCCCCTCTCCAGCCTGCCCCTCCGCTGTAAAGGCTGGGCTCCCCCACAGCCGCCCAGCTCCAGCTCTCTCAAGGCGCTTGGGCTCTTTCTGGGAGCTGAGAAGTGAGACCTGAATGACTCCTCTCTCACCCCCGCCCCCAGGACCCATGGAAGCTTCCTTCCCCTTCCCAGGGTGAGGGGAGACCCCACTCTCCACTCTGCCTCTGCCCCTTGCCGAGGGCCAGCCCCAGACTGCTCTGCAGGAGGAGCTTTCTGGGCGTGTCCTGCTCCTTCCCTTAGGGTCGGAGTGCCAGGGCGCCAGGCTGCGGTCAGCAGAGATCCCGCTGGCATTTCCTGAACATAGTGTGCTTTTCCCAGCACTATGCCCGCCCCTGCCAGCACCAAGAGTGGGGGCGCATCAAGTGCTCACTCCAGTTGTGTGGACCAGGGCTCCTTGCAGTCAGCTGGGCTGAGGGGCGTCCGGCAGCCCCCGTTTGGACTGACACCTTTAAGACCGTGCCCACACAGCACCCATTGCTCGCCCACATGCTCTGTGGTGCTGCTGGGCCCTTGGGTCTGGGGCATAGCCACATGGCAAACTCCCGGGGCAGGGCGGAGGGTCATGGTGGGGGTTCTGGAGTCCAGTGAAAGCCGGGCTCAGCTCCTGCCGGCTGCTTATTAGCCACGCAGCTTGGAGTGGACATTAAGCTCAAGGCGAGGGCTCAAAAAGAAGGCGTCTGTCGAGTCCCAGCACAGTCCTGGCAAAAGTGGACCAGAAGTGGGGAGCACTTCCACTCAGCTTGGGGCATCGGGGCAGGCGGTGCTGAGGAACTGGCTTCTTGGGCTGCAGGGGTGGGGAGGGCAGGTGGCGTGAACCTTCGGGGTACTTGTCTGTGTGAGGGGGGTTCCCTGCAAAGTGAAATCCTGACCTGGATTTGGGGGCGACACTTCTTGCTGCTTGGCCCAGCCCAGCCCACCTGGCCTACTTCTCCTTCTGCCTGGCGTGGTGCGTCCTCCCTTAGGCCTTCCTCCCCAGGATTTCCGGGTGCAGCCCCCTGGCTGCTGCAGCCTTTTCAGGGGTGGCTGCACTTGGCAGTGGGCTGGAAGGAGCTTGGTGGCCACTTTGAAGATGGCATCTGCGCGGCTCCAGCCCCGAGGTCACACCAGCCCAAGCTTTCTCTGACTGGAACCTCCGTCTCCCCAGGCTACCCCTCACTGCTCCGGAGCCAGAGCCCGAAGGCCCAGCCCCAGTCTTGGAAGTCCGGCAAGCATACCATGCTGGTGAGCGAGGGGCTGCCAGGAGAGCTGCCTGGGCACCAGCATGTCCGGGATGGGCACTGAGTGGGCCCCAAGGGCATGGGCCAGCACGCCTCCAGGCCAGGGAGGAGGGCGGCCTCTCTGGGTTCCAGGGTGGAGGGAGCCTCCAGGGTGGCAGTGGCCTGAATCTCTGTGGCTGCGACCCAGGGCTGCGGGCAGGGGCACCTTCAGGCCTCAGTGTTCTCATCCGTAAATGGGCAGGCCTGGTCTTTGATTTGGCAGATGGCAACTGGGCACTACGCTGGTTGAGTGACAGCTTAGCCCTCGCCAGCTCTGGGAGTATAAAGACTCAGGCAGCCGGTGGGCATCAGTCCCCCTTTTGCTCGGGGCACTTCTCCAGTTCTGACAGGGTGCAGGCCAGCGGGGCGGGGGAGAGGTTAAGAACATACATATTTAGGGTGCGACTCTGGTGACTTTAAGCTGAGGATGTTGAAGAACCACACAAAAGAGAGGTGAGGTCTGGGGCTTCAGACACCAGCCGGATGTGGGCCCCGGAGTCAGCTCCCTCTGGCACTGTTCTTCATTTTCATGAATTGGTGCTGGGGTGAGATGATCCCTGAGGCCCTGTTGCCCTAACCCTGACCCCACCAGGGGCTGTCCTTCACATGCCAGGCTCCAGCTCTCCACGTGCTCTTCTGCTGATGGCCACGCCAGGCCTGGAATGTGGGTGGAACTGGGCGCTCTGCCGGGCACAGCCTGTGGCTCTGGCTGTCTACTGCCTCTGCATTTGGAGGTCAGAGCAGGGAGGTGATTGCGCTGGGCCACAGAGAGTGACGCGGGCTGGCTTAATTGGAGAGTGTCTTTAATTGGCCAGCGATGGGAGCTGAGTGATTTGTGTGTAATTTGGAGCTGAGCCCAGGGGTATTGCAACAGCAGGACTGCAAAGAGCAGATATGGGGGACAAAAGGTTTTTGTCCCACACTTGGTCCTTGCGCTCTCGACCACACGCTTCCTGCATTGCAGAGAAGGCGCTAGCAGAGAAGGCTCAGCGCCACCCAAGACGCCTGACAGGACAGGGTGCTGGTGCACCTCTAGCTGGGAAAATGGAGGTGGAGCTAGTGGGCACAAATGGCGGGGTACAGGGGGAGAAGAGCTGGGAGCCAGGAAATCCGGGATCTGGCCCTAACGTGGCCACCTGCTGGCTGTGTGACCTCGTGTGCGTCTTCCCCTGTGGCTCAGTTTCCCCATCTGGGATATGAGTCAGATGGCGCGGGTGACTGCACAGCCCTCCCACTCACACACGCTGTGACCCCGAGTCGAGGAGGCAGCTGCGGGGCAGGGCAGGGTGCACCTACCTGGTTGCGACGAGTCTCTCTCTGCCCACCCACCGCTCTGGACTCCGAACACGACGGCACCATTTCCGGACCGGCCTAGCCCTCCTGCAGCGAGGCTTCTGGCTTTGCCTCAATCACTCTGCCTCATGCATTGCTCTGAGGCCAGGCTGGAGACCTGGTGTCGAGTCCCACTTTGCCACTGAGTTGTGTGACTTTGGCATCCTTCCCCCGCCCTGGTCTCTGTCTCTTTCTTGGTTAACAGATGGTTTAACCTAAGCCTGAACTAAGGTTCTCAGCCCTGGCATTCCACACCCCTGAGTCCTGGGCAGGACCAGACAGAGTAGAAGCTTCCAGCAGAAGCACAGTGCCAGGCGGGCGAAGCAAGAACAGAGGGAGGGGACACTTGGGTGTCTCCTGGGCTGGGCCAGTGGTGTGTGCCTGGGCTGGGCGGCTGCTTCCTGCTTCCCCAGGCGGCTGGCCTGGCTGTTGGCATGTGCTCCTCTGTTCCAGCGGGAGTGCAAGCTCTCGGGGCCCATCGAGATGGCTGGGAAGAGCAGAGCACTTATGTCCTGAAGTGACCGTGGCAAGAAACACACAGACCAGTGGGGCAGTTGTCATGGGCTCTGTCTGGGAAACTCCCTGAATGCTGATGAGGACCAGGCTGAGGCTGGAGAGGGGCCAGGTTGGGCTGGGCTCCACTCAGTGCTCTTCTTCTGACCCCGCTGCACCGTCTCCTGGACAGGAGAGTCATGCAGAAAAAGCAGAGGCCAACCTGAAGCCCTTGCCAAGGAAGGGATGGGAGATGTGTGTGTGTGGGTGGGGGGGTGGGGATTGAGCTCTGGAACCAGACTGCAGGGGTTCAAATCCCAGCTCTCCTTACAGCTGGGTAACCGTGGGCAAGTTGCTCTGTGCTTGGGTTTGTTCATCTCTAAATGGGGAAGACCATAATAGCTGGGTGATGGAGGGAGTTCAGGGAACTCATCTCTGTCAAGCGCACGGATGGCGTAGGGCACAGTGGAGAGCACCCCTCACCACCCCCGCCAGTGGGTGCTGCCGGGACCAGAGAGAAAGCTTGATGAGGGACTGAGGTTCAAGCCCACGCACCCTTTGCGGGGACTGACCTCTAACCTGGATGTGACCTGGAGACTGACAACATGTGACCCACCGGTCACAGAGTAGGTAGGGCTTGCAGGTAGGGCTCAGGTCCCGGATGTTGCCGGGGTTCAGGCCACTGCTGCTTCCCAGGGGAGGTTAGGATGGGCTGGGCCTGGCTCCTCGGCACCCCCTCTAACTCCTCTCGTTTCCCCCCACCCCTGCAGCCTCACTACCGGCCATTCTACGTCAACAAAGGCAATGGGATTGGATCCAACGAGGCCCCATGAGTTCCAGATGGGCAGCTTTGAGGGCGGCACCGTCAGTCCCGCCCACCCCAGCAGATCCTGCTGCTCTTGCCTTCTAAGCTACTGTTCTCATCCTGGTGGGCGGGGGCTGGCTCCGTGCTCCCCCAGCCTCTCCCCAGCGTCCCCATCAGCCACGGTCCATCCAGGCCTCTCTCCTGCTGTGGCTTCTAGTGACCCCCTCTCTCCCGCATCCAGAGGTGGGCCATTCCAGCGGGGAGACAGAAGGGCTTCTCCCTCTGGACCTGGCACCTTCTTCCTCTACAGTGGGATTTTGGGGTGGTATTTGTGCCCACAGGCTTTAGCCCGGCTGTCTTTAGGCCTGTTGGCCATTTCTCTCCACAGTCCCTTGCTGCATGGTGTGGTCCGTAGGAGCCTGGTCAAGACCAGCGGCCCACCCCTTCCCAACCCAGGCCACCCCTTCCCCGCCTGTCAGGACACCAGCCCCACCAATGTCCAGCACTGGGAACCAACAGCCCTGGGGGGCTGGGGTGGGGCAGCCCCAGTGTCTTGGCATGCTCCTGCTCCACCTTGCATAGCTCATCTGTTCCTGGGCCTGGCGCTAGGCCTCTCTTCCTCCTGCTGAGGCCAGCCATCCCCTCACGGGATATATAATCCACACTTGAAGGTGGCCGCTGGCCCAGCGGCCCCAGAGAAGGCTCATTTCTCTGCAGGACACCTCTAGTGGGACCATTTTGTGTCCTCTGGGCAATGGGAGTGAGGCTGGTGACAGTGTCGCCGGACTGGGACCCACGAGGCCACATTCCCACTCTCCCCTCCCCACAACCCCTGTCCATCTTCTGCTTACCTCTCACTGCCCTCACCTAGGGCTCCGGGCCTGGAGAGGAGACCAAACCACGAACAGCTATGTGGACGCAACCCCTCTCCCCCCAGCCCTACCCCTGGGCCGATGGGGCAGCTTTCAGGAGTCGCGACATTCAGCCTGGTCTTCCCCCCATCAATAAACCATGGATCACCTACTTCTTTTGTATCAATCATGTACATCCCCCAAATCTCTAGAGGGTCCCCTGCAGTCTGCACATGGCCGCCATCTGAGAGGTGTTTGCTCTTCCTTCCAGAAGATGGGGCTCCTGTAGGTCTCTCTTTGCACCCTCACATCTAACTCTTGGGGTGCAGGGCAAGAGACTGACCTTCTGAGGCAGGCAGACCTTGGGTGACAATGAGCAGAAGGGTTTTGGCAGGATGGGGTCAGCCCAGAGGTCTGTGAGTGCCCAGACCCCCAGGCCAGGCTCCCGGGGTGTCCCCGGAGGGAAGGAGAGACATAGTTCTCAGCCCCAGGGTGCTCAGGAGTGGTCAGCCGAGGTCAGGGGAGAGCTGGGCTCCTGAGAACTGGGCACCCTCTTGGGCCTGGGGAACAGAGGAAGCACATGCGGCCCTCAGGCCCTGTAAGTCCCTGAGGGGCAGGCAGAAGGCTTCCTGGAAGAAGCAGGTGAGGCAGAAGGAAGCATGGCTAGTATGAAACCATGACTTTGTCCAGCTGTGGCCAGGCCCCCAGGGCCCCAGGCCTCTTCTTCACACCGTCTCTTCTTGCTCTGCTCCCCCTGGGGGCAATGCCCCCCACCCCACTCTGCCTTCCTTCGCCACCCCTCAAAAAGAGCTGGCTCTCGTCTCCCCATCCACCTGGGCCAGGGGAGCTTTAGGGCTCCATCCAGCTTGAGGTGGGGAGAGGTAGAGGGTAAGGGGGGAGGGAGGGAGGGATAAAGAGTAAGAGAGGAAAGCAGAGGGTAAGGAGAGGAGACGGGGAGACAGGAGAGCCCGGGGAGGGGCCGGCACCTGTGCAGGACCATCCCGCTGGGAGGGAAGGGGGGGAGGGATAGGGCCACACTTCCTGCCACGTCAGTGCCCCCGCGGGCTGGCAGCCTGTGGCCCTGTGTGGCTGCTGCTGCCCAGCCCCCTGCTCCCCCCGCCCAGGCCCACCTGTGGCACCCAGTGGCCTGCAACACCTCCAACTTCTAGGTCCACCGTCCTGTGTCCCCGATGTTGAGGAGGGTTGCTTTCCCGGGCTCCAGGGAGGCCTGCATTCTGAGAAAAACCCTAGCTCTCCACATTTGGGGCCCTCCCCCGGCCCGGCAGCTCCAGAGGGGAAGAAATGGACAGGGACGCAGATTGGCTGAGATCCACTGGCTGAAAGCCGCTGGGGACAGCTGGGTGTCCTTGACCCTGGGTCTCATCTGCTGGACTCAAGAGTTGTTGCAACTGCCCCCTGCAGCATGGAGGTGGCCAGGCAGGGAGAGGGAGGGTACCGGTATTGGAGGGGTGTGTGCAGGGCCTGGGGAGAGACATCCCCCACCAGGAGCATTGCACCCCATCCGGCCCCAGCAGTTCCATTAACGGCAGAGCTGTGATTATAAAGCAATCAAGGGGATTCTTTCTTTCCACTTTGTGAGAATGCCTCCCGCCTCAGCAGGAGTGAAAACATCGGGACATTCGCAGGCCCTGAGTAGCTCAGGAGGGAAGAGAGGCAGGTCTCCCCAGGACAGGCAGAATGGAGAGATGCAACAACCCGTTTCTACTCTTGACCCTGTGATCCCCAGCAAAGTCCCATGGGTGCTTTCCTGTGTCCTCTGCTTGCCACCTCTGGGCTTCAGACGTGCTGTGGGCGCCCTGAGGGCTCAGGGGAGGACCCACTGGGATCTGGGCTGGAGGAGGAGGGAGAGAGCAGGGAGCGTCCAGAATATCTGGCGTTCCCATCCTGCTCCCACCCTTTGGGCTGTGTGGCCTGGGCAAGGTGCTTGCCCCCTCTGGGCCCGACCAGCCCTACCTACCAAATGAGCTGTTTTCTCTGGGTCATTCTGACGTCCTTTCCCAGCTTGGTCATCTGTGGTAAAGGCAGCAAGGGAGGCTGGAAGGGACTGGAAGACTGAGCTGAGTCCCAGGTTGGGGCTCCATGACCATGCCTGAGCTGAGAGCCAGGCAGGTGGGGCTCCCAAGTCCCCAGGTCCCCCCTTGCCCCAGCCCAGCTGCCCCTCTGCCCCTCCAGACCCCGACTATCAGGAACTTGGGCCCTTCTCTAAGGGCAAGTCTTGGGACTCCCGAAGTGTCTGAATTCTGTGCGGGGCCTGGATCTCCCGGACCTAATTCCATGATTCCAGAATTGGTCACCGTTGCTCTTCCGGAGCATCACTGTGTGGCTACGGAGCAGTTATCTGGGTGCTAGGTGATGGGACCAGAAAGGGAGTTGGGGAGCTGCCAGAGAACCTGGGATGTTTCATCGTGGGAGTGGGGTGGGACTGAGACATGGACTTCTGGTTTGGACAGGCGACTGTCTCACTCACCACCTGTGACCTGGGACAAGCTCCCCTACTTTTAAGAAGGTGACAGCATTAAAGGATCCTTGGAAACAAAACAACCGTGTGCAAAGCACCTGAGTAGCACGTGTTCAACAATTGGGACATGATAATAATATTATTATTTCTGTTGCAACAACAGTAACAGCAACAATGAAAACATCCGACAAGGATCAAACCTGATTTTCCGGTTCATTTTAACCTCAATACTTGGAAGGGAGTTTCTCCCGCCTTCGACCTCCAACCAGGGCTGCTTGCAGTTCTAGGATGTGACAGCAGGTGGCGGTATTTTACTGCAGTTACTGGGCACCGAGTCCCTGGGCAGGAGACCTACAGCCAGACCTGGCTCCACCTCCTTCCAAGAGACGGAAGAAAGCCCCTCCCCCACCCCTTCTCCCTTCCTTCTGCAGTAGCTAAGTAGACGCTGTGGTCCCAGATGGTGGGATGTGTGGGATCCCGTGCCAACAGGATGACAGCCCCCCATCCCTCAGCAGGAACGAGGCACTTGCTGCTCGACCCACCAAACCTTGTCCCACCTGGAGTGCAGGCTGCACGTGGCGATGGCCTTGGTGCCTCCAGAGGCGATGGCGTTGCTGCCTTGGGCCCTCTCAGCAGGGGGCAAGATCGAAGGAGGGGCTGGGTGGGCACCTCGGATTCAGTTCTGCAGTCCCTGAAGGTCAGGGAGACGCTACAGAGTAGATGGCCAAGTGGGGAGGAAACGAGGGGGCGTGTCTGCGGACCGCAAAGTCCCTTGACTTTTGTCAATTTGAGATGTCCACCTAGGGGCGGGGAAATGTATAATTTCCTCCCGATGGACTGTGTAGGGAGGTCAGAAGGAGACAAGTCTGGACCTGGGGATTAACTGTCCGGAGTGGGCACCCGGACGCCGAGGTGTGGACCCAGTCCCTCCCACCCTACCCCTCCCAAGAGTGACCCAGCCAGTTTTATCTTTCTGAGTATTGACTATTAAGTTTGAAAATGAACTGCTGTTCAGCCACATAAACAAGGGAGATAAATGCTAATTGCCGGGTGGATGTGCCAGCTCCCGGTCCCGAATTCATCACCCTGCAAGGCTGCGGCTAAGCAGACGCCAGGGGAAAGAGCGGGTGAGTGGAGGCCAGGACTTTGGGAACGCCAGGCCCTCTCCCACGAGGTGGTGCCAGGAGGTGGAGGAGCTGGGAAGCCCCTCCCAGGGGATGAGAATGATGGCGGCTCCCCCCAAGAGCTCCAGGGAGGGCAGGGAGCCAGGCGAGGGAGGATGGGGAGGCCTTTGGCTGGCTCAGGGTTCATAGGAATTAATCCCAAATGGACTGACATTTGTTTCCCCAGGGACCTTCCAGTGGGCCTGGGGGCTGGGTGGGGGGGGGCACCCATATTTCTCTCCCGGCAAGACTCCCGCCAGGGCGCCAGCGGTTGCATGCCTATTCCCTGAGATGCTCGCTTGGGGGTCCTAATGGCCTGGAGGGGCTCCCGCCTGGAGGGGGGAACTGGACTAGAAGACCCACTCAACAAGACAGCGGCCAAGGCGCTGGCAAGGTGAGACAGGAGAGCAGGTGTTCCGCAGAGGATCCGTGTGATGCAGCACTGAGGGGCTTCTTGGAGGGGGCAAATGTTCACTTATGCCCAGACAGTCAGAGCATGGTAACGTAGGCACGGGGGACCCTGGAGGACGCCTCACTGTTCTTACTGGCACTCCCAGCTGTTGGGGAAGCAAAGGGAGGAGCTGATGTCATAGGAAGTGTCCAGCAGAGAAGCACGCAGGCAGGTGGGAGAGGGAAGTGAGCTGGGTGCCCCGCAGGGGAGGGCGCCGCTGTGTGGGCTGGTGAGGAGAAGATCGGGGCCAAGGAGTTCCCGGGAGCAGGACCTGCCTTGGAGAGTGTCCGGTGTGGGAGGACGCAGAGGCCGGGCCCAGGAGTGGGAGGTGGACAGCGGAGAGGTGGGTGCTGCGGAGGGCGCCTGAGCAGCTGGGGGCTAGCTAAAAACACAGCCCCTGCTCCAGGGGTGATCAGATTAGTGCTTTAAGGAGAGGTTCTGGCATGCATTGAGAAGTGGGAGAGGAGGCCAGGCTCCCGAGGACAGAGTTTCGAGCCAGCTGGAAACAGGGTGCTGGGGATCCAGGTGGCTTTCCAGGTGGGGAACAAGCAAAGACAGGAGGCAGAAAGTCCAGGTGGGGGCAGCTTGGGAAACGAAAGGCTAAGAGGTGAGGGCAGGGTGCAGGGAGTGGGGGGTGAGGGGTGGGGAGAGCAGGCCCTGCTGAGGGGTGGCGACGGGAGGGGGCTGGGCTGGGGTTGCGTTGGAGGGGGTGTCTGCTGTGGGCTGTGGAAGCAGGGACCACTCTTGGGGTTACAGGGCCCTTGCGTGTCTGCCCTCAAGGCGGGGGGGATGGGGGTGCAGCGTGCTGTGTCGGACCTGAATTCTTACATGGCGGGTTAGCAGCTGGGCCCATGGAATAAGTTACTTATTCTTTTCTGGTCTCCAGTCTTCTTGAAGTCTGTGACGGAGCTAATTATTGGGACCACTGGATGTTTTGGTGAGGAGGATTAAGTGCAAGGCAGTGAGAAAAGGGTCTCCGCAGAGCCCGGCAGTGCATTTCACTAGACAAATAGGTGCCCGGTCAGTGGACATAGGGGACAGAAGAGACGCGGGTGCTTTGCTCCCTTTGCC